GAGCTGTGTTGTCCAGTATGTCATCCACATGTGGCTATTGAGATTAACTTATTAAAAGTAAATAGATTAAAAATTCACTTTGTGGGTCTCACTTGCCATATTTCAAGTGCTCTATAGACACTACCATATTTTTTCCCTATACCATAATGCTCAGAAGCATTGCCATATTGAACTGCACAGATATAGAATATCTCCATCAGGGCTGGACTTTCTGCCCCTGAACTTTTTTAATTCTATCTCATTAAAAGTTCCTTTTTTTCCTGTTATATGCAGTCAAATCTATACCTAAATGAATACAAATAATTAATGGACAGAGGATACAAAATTATATATCTGAGTAGTTTACAGCACTTTACTAATTTTTCTTTAAAGAAAGCATATTATATTGATTCTCTTAAAAATACATTTTTGATGTTGTGATAAAATCAATGACCAAGAGCTAACTACATGTTCTCCAGTGCTAAGTAGTATAATTAGATGATACTACTTTTGTTCATTGAGAAGACATTTTTAAAATGTTACAACATTCTCTGTCTCATAAAACAATGAAAAAAATGTTTTCCTTTAACTTCTGTGCTTCCTTCAGCAAGGCCAGAACAAAGTGAGTCATCAGCTGTCAACAGATCTAAGTCTCAACTCTCTTGAGGGTTGAGAGGTAGGTGACATGATCCCTAAGAATTTTGACCATTCAGTTAGAGTAGATATTATCTGCCTGTGCAGTATCCAATCACTCAGAGTTCACTGATGGTGTCCTATCCACAGCTCTCAGAGAGGAAACCAAGCCTGCCCATGAGTAAGGGACTTCTACCACAACCTGCATCCTAAAGACCTAGCCTGCTTTAATACAAGCAAGATAGCAAGAGAAAGGAAGGGTGCCTTCACTGTGTTTAGTTCGGGAGCAGATGTTTTAAAATATACATTAACAAGATATGAAAGCATTTAGCATAAAAAAGTATAGGGAAGCTATTTTACAGTCAACATCTATTTAACAAATACTAAGTGAGTACCTATGATGCGCCAGAGAGATGGTCTAACAGAGAATGCTTACGTTCAGAGAAGCAATGCAGCGTGCAACAGAGAATGTGTATTGAACTACCTTAGAATGCTTGAACGCTTTTGGGGTGGAATCAAGGCCTATTCTGAGTAGCTCTGCAGGACAGAATGATCATTGCGTGGGCAGAGATGCAGTCATCACACAAAATAAAATTAATCACCAGACTGGCTGCTCTGAAAAGCCATCTTCGCATTGTTCCTCGTCTGCCTCCTCGCTCCGCGGACTCGGGCAGATTTATCGCCAGAGTCGCTGAACTCTCGCTTTCTTTTTAATCCCCTGCATCGGATCACCGGCGTGCCCCGCCATGTCAGACGCAGCCGTAGACATCAGCTCCGAAATCACCACCAAGGACTTAAAGGAGAAAAAGGAAGTTGTGGAAGAGGCAGAAAATGGAAGAGACGCCCCTGCTAACGGGAATGCTGAGAATGAGGAAAATGGGGAGCAAGAGGCTGACAATGAGGTAGATGAGGAAGAGGAAGAAGGTGAGGAGGAAGAGGAGGAGGAATAAGAAGGTGATGGTGAGGAAGAGGATGGAGATGAAGATGAGGAAGCTGAGTCAGCTATGGGCAGGCGGGCAGGTGAAGATGATGAGGATGACGATGTTGATACCAAGAAGCAGAAGACCAACGAGGATGACTAGATAGCAAAAAAGTAAAAGTTAAACTAAAAAAAAAGCCCTCTGTGACCTATTCGCCCTCCACTTCCCCTCTCAGAATCTAAACGTGGTCACCTGCGAGCAGAGAGGCCCGCCCGCCCCCCACCGTGGGCAGTGCCACCTGCAGATGACACGCGCTCTCCACCACCCAACCCAAACGATGAGAATTTGCAACAGGGGAGGAAAAAAGAACCAAAACTTCCAAGACCCTGATTTTTTTCTTAAAAGTACTTTAAAAAGGAAATTTGTTTGTATTTTTTATTTACATTTTATATTTTTGTACATATTGTTAGGGTCAGCCATTTTTAATGATCTTGGATGACCAAACCAGCCTTCAGAGCTGACTTTACTTGTGGTGTGACCATGTTCATTATAATCTCAAAGGAGAAAAAAAAAACTTGTAAAAAAAAGCAAAAAAGGACAACAGAAAAACAATCTTATTCCGAGCATTCCAGTAACTTTTTTGTGTATGTATTTAGCTGTACTATAAGTAGTTGGTTTGTATGAGATGGTTAAAAAGGCCAAAGATAAAAGGTTTGCTTTTTCCTTTTTTTGTCTATGAAGTTGCTATTTATTTTTTTGGCCTGTTTGATGTATGTGTGAAACAATGTTGTCCAACAATAAACAGGAATTTTATTTTGCTGAGTTGTTCAAAAAAAAAAAATTAGTAACCAGTTCTAATGATGAAGATGAGGATGGCTAATATTTATTGATGACCATGTTCTTTTCTAAAAGCTTTTCAGGTATATTATCTGATTTAATATTCAGAATAACCCCTTTTTTCTTTTTTTTTTTTCTTTTTTTGAGACGGTGTCTCGCTCTGTCACCCAAGCTGAGTACAGTGGCACTATGTTGGCTCACTGGAACCTCCACCCCCCAGGTTCAAGCAATTCTCCTGCCTCAGCCTCCCAAGTAGCTGGGATTACAGGTACACGCCACCATATCTGGCTAATTAGTAGAGATGGGGTTTCTCCATGTTGGCCAGGCTGGTCTCAAACTCCTGACCTCAAGTGATCCACCTGCCTCGGCCTCCCAAAGTGCTTGGATTACAGGCATGAGCCACCGCGCCCAGCCAGAATAATCTTATAAAGTTCATATTATTGTTAGTCATTATATTTATACAAAAACAGTTGTTCAGGGAAGTTAAGTACTTTGGATCTTGGGTTGTGGCTCACAGGCAATTGGAGCAGCCTAACAAATGTCAGAGCCTGAGCTCTTAGAATTTCAGCAGGAAGATGTGCTCCTCACCATGAAAGTGTTCAAAAAGAACCTGTAAGAATTGATATAGCAAGGATTGTGCACTAGCCCAAAGGGTTGTTTATTCCACATGCACAAAGTATCAACTATGTGCATGATATTTAGAGCTGCAAAGAAGGGACACTGGACAGTCCTGCCCTTGAGAGCTTACAGTCTACTGAGAGAGAAATACATCAAATAATTAGAATTGAAGTGATAGGGCAATAATATGTAAAAATGACTGTGGAAAAGAGACATAAATTCAACTCAAAGAGGAGGGAAGTCAGAGAAGGTCTTATAGGGAAGATGACTTGAACCTAGGTCTTGAAGAATGTATATGATTTTGTCATACAGAAAAGGGAAGTAAAGTTATTCCAAGCAGAAGCAGCAGCATTTTCTCAGGGATTAATGATGGTCATCTATGGACAGCGTTAATGGGAACACTAAGGGAAGTGAGAAAAGTTTGCTGGTGCCTTTAAAACCACTATTTACCTATGTGTTCAACCAGTGCCTACAATAGAAAGGAAAAAGCCCTAAGATCTATAGCACACCCATGATACTCCATCCCTCTGCTAGGGAAGCTCTCTGAATTATTTCGCCTGATTCTCAAGAAAAAGCAGAGGATGTCATGAAAATTCAATGCCAATATGTGCAATTTTAAAGCCAACAGGGGCCAACTTCATGATAGTCTATAAATTATGTACAATTATATGAAACAATGGGGTAAGGCGGAGATGCTGAGAAGTTAACCAAAAGTGCAGACACAGACTATCTCATCTCCCTTCCTCAAGAAATACTAATAGGCATTAAAAGAAATGGCCTTTCATGGTCACTTAGAACAAGGGACAGAGGTCTGGAGTAGAAGCATGCTTGGACAGTATCACCCTCCCCTTCATTCTTTAAGTTAGGCCTAATAAGCATTTTCTTACATTATGTATTTTTCACATCTGGATAAGACTAACAATGCTTTTGTGAAACATTGTATTTGTGAAAATATTTGACTTGATCTTTCCATATTGATAGGTAGAATTATGTCTTTTTGACATTATTTTGTTTACAAATGTTAGACATTGTGATAAAGACCAGAGAGACTGAAGGACCATCTCTTGTGAAAACATGTCACAAGAAGTAAAATTGCTCCAGGGACTTTTCTGGGGCTCATGGCCAGATGGTCTATGGTACAAGATACCAAGAGCCAACCAAAAAGAATAGAAAAGTAGTCCCAGGATATAATTTTCTCTCTTTTTTTTTTTTTTTTTTTTTTTTTTTTCTTTTTTTGAGACGAAGTCTCGCTCTGTTGCCCAGGCCGGAGTGCAGTGGCCGGATCTCGGCTCACTGTAAGCTCCACCTCCCGAGTTCAAGAGATTCTTCTGCCTCAGCTTCCCAAGTAGCCGGAACCACAGGCACGTGCCATCATGCCCAGCTAATTTTTGTAGTTTTTAGTAGAGACAGGGTTTCACCATTTTGGCCAAGCTGATCTTGAACTCCTGACCTCGTGATCCACCCACCTCGGCCTCCCAAAGTGCCAGGATTACAGGCATGAGCCACCACACCCGGCCTTCCTGGATGTAATTTTCAAAGACATACTTGTCAACATTGTAGATCAGATTGGTGCCCCCCTTCCTAAATATTCCCTGATAATTCATCTGGTTGGTTTCCTTTTTTAATGAAATAGAGTTTGCTATCATGAGGGAGTTTGAACAAAGAGGGGAGAAAGAATGAAGGAAGAAAAGAAGGAAGGGACGGAGGAAGGAGGAAGAGCAAAAGGGAGAAAAAAAAGAAGTGAGGAAGGGAGGAGGTAACAGAACGAAGTGATTTAATCTAAAAAACATTTGTCCACATGTTCTCCTTTGCATTTGCACTTAGTTTGAGGCTTCATATTACCCAAGCCCAAGATATTGTTGCTATCTGCCCTCTGTCCTTCAAACATTACACCAGGATACTGAGTGTCTTCGGTTGCTAAGGAGAATCACAGCATCAGTATCATTAAGCCTTTATATTTGTTTCTGTCGTTCTTGAATATCCCACTAAAATCAAAATCCATTTCAAGAACAGAGAGTAATCAGACATATATTTTGTATCACTTTTCATCCCTAAGCTCTTTTTCACTCCTTCCTTGAGTTCTCCTTTTTGCTCCACAATCTTCTTATGGCGATTTTCACCTCTGCATTCCTGAGTGTGTAAATGATGGGGTTCAGCATGGGGGTGATGACCGTGTAGAATACAGCCACAAGTTTATCTTCAGTGAAAGTGGAAGAGGGTCTCATGTAGAGGAAGATGGCGGGTCCAAAAAACAAGATGACCACTGTGATGTGGGAAGCACAGGTGGAGAGGGCTTTGTGCCTCCCCTCCGCAGAATGGTTCCTCAAGTTGACCAGAATGACAATATAAGAGGACACCAAGATGAGGAAGGAGAAGACAGAGAATAATCCACTGTTGGCAAACACAATAACCCCCTCCATGAAGGTGTCGGTGCAGGCAAGCTTGAATAAAGGCTGCAGGTCACAGAAATAGTGGTCAATCACATTAGGACCACAGAAGGGCAATTGGATGATGACGAGAATCTGAATTACAGAGTGACAAAAGCCCCCCAGCCAGGAACCGGCCACCAGAAAGTGACACAGTTGACGACTGATAATGTTCATATAATGAAGAGGCTTGCAGATGGCCACATAGCGATCATAGGCCATCACCACAAGCAAAAGGATCTCAGCAACCCCAAAGAAGTGGAAGAAGAATATCTGAGCCAGACAACCTTCCAGAGAGATGGTTTTAATCTTGGCAAGTAAGTCTGTGATGAATTTAGGGGCAACAGTGGAGGAGTAACTGATCTCCACCAAGGACAGGTAGCTAAGGAAGAAGTACATGGGGGAATCCAGACTCTTGCTCATACTGACCGTCAGAACGATGAGGCCATTGCCCACCACTGTGGCCAGGTACACGGGGAGAAACGCCACAAAGCACACTCTCTGCACCGCTGGATCCTGGAAAAGGCCGGTGAAAATCAACGTAGTCACATTACTTGTGCTGGCCATGGATTCCACTTGAAGAAGACAGATCTCAGAGAAAAGCCCTGCGACAAAGCACATGCAATCTTAACACTAATCCTTCATGTTTGTTTAGCACTTGCCTGTTAATAAAACCCTTTCATGTATATTTTCTGACTCATTTGTTTATTTATTTATATAGTCAATGTTTATTCACTTGGTGCTTAATAGCCTACCCTATGCAAGACACTGGTCAAGCAACCCCATAAAAACTCTATGATCCCCATATAACAAGTAAGAAAACTGAGGCTCAGAGAATTTGTGAATTAGCCAAGCCTCCCAGATCATAGTACTCCAACTCATACATTACTTCATGTATACCCCACTAAAAAAATTACCACTTTCAGCATGAAAACCATTTATATTAATTACTAACATTTCTCCTAGTCTCCATGTTCTCTGATCATGCCTTTGTGTTAGAGATTGTATAGTGACCTTCTGCTCCTGACTCTTTTGTTTCCTCCATTTGTTTATTCCCCAGAAATGCCAATGTACTTGAAATGTCTCCATTTTAAAGAATACCTTTGATGTTTTCCTTACATTAACTACGTAAGTTTCCGAATTCTTTTAGACCCTATGGTTTTCGCCCAGTCCTATAGCTTCATGAATTTTTACAACCATTTTGAGAAAATTTTGGCAGTTGAAAGCTAAGTGAACATGCAGAAGCTGTTTGGAGTATAGCTCCCTATGGAACAATAGTTTGAATGTAATAGATGGACATCACCATTTTGCTTGTTTCTGTCTTCCAGTTTGCTTGCCATTAGCAAACATTTTTGTCAGCAGAAGGTGCAGGATTTCTTTTAATACAACTCTTTGAACCAAAGGTTTTGTTAAGTACCTACCACGTGCCTAGGCAACTCAGGGCATAGGAAAGGAGAATGGAATATGGTTCTAGCCTCAAGAGGCTTGTAACTTCACATGATTAAACAGCACAGTTATGAAATGAAGGAGAGAAAACCTTCAAGATTTTCTCTGCTTTTAAAACTCTTTTGAAGTATCTCAGGCCTGGCACAGTGGCTCATGCCTGTAATCCCAGCACTTTGGGAGGTCAAGGCAGATGGATCAACTGAGGTCAGGAGTTCGAGATCGGCCTGGCCAACATGGTAAAACCCCATTTCTACTAAAAATACAAAAATTAACTGGGCATGCTGGCAGGCACCTGTAATCCCAGCTACTCAGGAGGCTGAGACAGGAGAATCGCTTGAACCCGGGAGGCGGAGGTTGCAGTGAGCCAAGATCTCACCACTGCACTCCAGCCTGGGTGACAAGAGCAAAACTCCATCTCAAAAAAAATTAAATAAAATAAAATTATTTTGAAGTGTCTCTTATTCACCTTAGTTTTCCTTCTTCTACTTGTGCTTCCATTTGAAAATAGATTTAATACCTTTTCCTCCCTAATTTCTCTCATCGTGAAAATTTGAAGAGAAACACAAGGTAAAAATCTGCTGAGAGATGCTCAGTAAGGTGCTTAGCTAAAACTGAAGATGAAGTGGAGTATTAACTGGTGTTTAAAAAAAAAAAAGGAAAGAAAGAAAGAAAGAAGAGGTACCCGCAAAAACAACTGAATGGGAGAGAGAAAGCAAGATGGGGCCTCTTACTGGTGCAGAGGAATGGAAATAAGGGAAGCATCAAAAACAACCCAAGAAGGCTGCGAAGGGGTCTGGTGGCCTGGAGGAACTAGAGCATCTTATTACCTGATGTTTGCCGTCACATGGTTGTTAGGATGATGATGAAGATGGTGAGTATTGAGGTTACCAAATGTTCACCATCTTCATTGTCACCGACTTCCTAACAACCACAACTGCAGATGCTGCTGCCATTTTTTCAGGGTGTACAGTCATCCCCTCATTTAATTCTTCCTGTACCTCTTTGAGGTAGATAATTGATAGATCAGGGAAATGAGTCTCAGAGAAGTTTAGTAACTTGCCCAAAGAAACACAGCTTACGAGTGTTTGAGCCATGGCTGAAACCAAGCCTATGTAAATAAGGGTAGTGGAGAGTCACCACACCTCAGCTAGAAGAGAAAGGGATTAGCCACCCCAGGGCCTTGGAGAAATGGCATCAAAACCCATGGTCAATACAAAATTTGGCCAAATTCATTTACTAATCCCTCCCTGTGAATAGCAGGAGCATCATTAGAAACTCCACATTATTGGGAATGTTCCATTTCCACCATTTCTGGATCAGGTAAGACCAAGAAACCACGTAGGATCCCGAGCAGAGTGTGAGACTCAGGCATTCCCCTCTCCTACTTTGTCCCAGGGCAGGGATTTGGATGGGAGGTAGCAATGCAGCTGGTGAGATCGAGCTATGGAATCTGTCATTCCCTCCCAGCGCAGGTGAGCTGAAGAAACCTCTCTCACACTGGGCCTTATAGCAGCACCATCACTTTCCCCGTCCCTCAGGCTTGAAACCACGGAGTCACATCTAATTCATGCCTCCTCCACCTGTCATATTTACACAATCTTTATGTCCTGTTGATTTCACCAGTTTCCTCCTCTGTCTTCCTGCAGCTGCCATCTTCAAGCAGGACATAAACTCATGTGAGGATGACCACAGACATCTACATGCTCCTAGTCTAGTCCCTAGTCTTCATCCCAGTCTATTCTGCACACTCAAGTTAGAAATTCTTCATCTTTCCTCAGTACCTCCAAATCATTCAGAAGTTGCCATTGTCTCCCTGTTGGCTGGCAATCCATCCTAAATTCTTCCATCTGACTTTTAGAAACCTCTACAAGATTTCCACAGCCCCCTTCGAACCCACATTACTGGGCACTAAACTGCACACAATCTCAGTTCGAGGTCTCCTCACTTTCTCATAAATACAAGTTGATCCCCAACACAGGGGCATCTTTCCTACTTTTCACATTACCTGATGTATCATCCCTTTTTGCCTCCCTTTCCAAGTGCCAGCTAGTCTACGATGTACGCTGTCTAGGAAGCTTTCTCTGGTTACTTCAACACTGATTCATTTATCTCTGCTCTCAACTCTAGAAATCAGTTTAAGTCATCCTTCTGCTAAATGCAAGAAGGCACACAGTATTCGTCTCATAGCAAGCCCTCAAAGAATGTAAGCTATTATGATTGTTATACTTCTAAAATGCAAATCTGATAAAGTCATGCATTGACTTGAAATCTAGCAATGGTTTTCCACTGACTACAAGATTAAGTCCAACACCATCAGCATGACATTAAGACTCTCCAAGAACTGGAGCTTGTTCACCTTTCTAGATTCACTTGCCGTCACTCTTAACTGGAGCTTGTACTCCAGCCATTCTGAACGATGCATCATTCTAAAAAAAACTGTCTCTTTGCATAAGCTAATCCCTCTACTTGGTTGGTATGCATATCTTGACTTTCTAACTAACTTTTCTCCTTGTTTTAATACTCAGGTCAAACACCACCCATCGCTGCACTGCCAGGCAACACCTCTTCCGTGTTTTGTTGTGTTTTACTCTTTTTGAGACAAGGTATCACTGTTTCAACCAGACTGGAGTGCAATGGCGTGATCATAGCTCACTGTAACCTTGAACTCCTAGGCTTAAGGGATCCTCCTGCCTTGGCCTCCTGAGTAGCTAGGACTACAAGTGCTACCAGGCCCAGGTCATTTTTTTTTTTTTTTTTTTTTTTTGAGACGGAGTCTCGCTCTGTCGCCCAGGCTGGAGTGCAGTGGCCGGATCTCAGCTCACTGCAAGCTCCGCCTCCCGGGTTCACGCCATTCTCCTGCCTCAGCCTCCCGAGTAGCTGGGACTACAGGCGCCCGCCACCTCGCCCGGCTAGTTTTTTTGTATTTTTTAGTAGAGACGGGGTTTCACCGTGTTCGCCAGGATGGTCTCGATCTCCTGACCTCGTGATCCGCCCGTCTCGGCCTCCCAAAGTGCTGGGATTACAGGCTTGAGCCACCGCGCCCGGCCTCCAGGTCATTTTTTAATTTTTTTGTAGAGATGGCATCTCACTATGTTGCCCAGGCTGGCCTCAAACTCCTGGTTTCAAGTGATCCTCCCAACGCTCTAGGATTACAGGTGGGAGCCACCATGCCCGGCCTTCTTCCATGTTCTTTACATATTTCTACTGGAGTAGTTAGCATATTTTATTGTAATTACTGTTTCTGTATCTGTCTTCTTTGCTGCCTTTATTCAGCTCTAAATCCTCCAAATAACATCTCAGCAAATGTTCATTTAATTGAATTTTTAAATGAATAAATGAAGTTCTTCTACCACCTACAGTTGAAAGCAGACAATGCAGCACACACTTTATACAGTCTCTTTTCTTTTCTCTCACTGTGGTTTTATGGTCACCTGTTTGTCTTTAGAAAAACAGTCGAAGTTCATTACGCCCACATAGCACCTAAATGTCAACCTCACGGATGGTGCACAGTATATATATAGACTTTTAAATGATGATAAACTGATTAACCAGTAGATTGATAAGAAAAAAACTAGATTCTTTAATGCTACCTCTCTACATTTTCTTTTAAGTCTGTTGACCTCTTACAACCTACCTGAGACTCTTTCTCACCAAATATATAAAGTTATGAACAATGTAGATCATTTTTATTTCAGAAATAAACATTTTACTGCACTGGGTCAAAGCCGCACATGCTGAAATTGAGATACTTTACCTACTTCTAGGTTATTTTCTATGAGTTGAGTGGGGAGGACCCTAACATCATTATGTTTTCCAGAAGACATTTTTTGTTCTTTGGTTTGTCCAGTGTTACTTGGACATGAATAGCCCAGTTCTCACTTAAAATGCTAACTCTCTTACACACACACACACACACACACACACACGAGTCCTTATGCTGAGAAGGTTACCATAATGGGCCACATGATATACATTTTAAAAACAAACAAAAAAGCCTATTAGGGGAACTTAATACAATTATGTCAGATGGCTTAATGAAGTCATTGTGAGAGCACAGAGGTGATGAATGCAGAAGGGCAAGTGACCTGCCTTTTAGTGGAGGCAGGGTCCTCTAAAGGACAGAGATAAACAAAGCAAGGACCCCTGGCTAAGCCGCCTTTCACTCTTCTCAGGAATTGGTCTAAAGCAGTGGTAAAGA